AGGCTTAGGTGATGACCTTGTTATGAACGAGCCTGGATGAACAAATATGAACTGTTTTGCAGAAATAAGACCAACCAACTTAGCAAATTAAAGAGTTAAAATAAGACAAATGCTCTTATAAGCAGAAGCTGCCATCATATATACTTTATTGACTGTTTGTTTCAACTCAAGTCCACAAACTTCAGCTTTTTCAAAGCATGAACATTAAGCACTTATGAAAAACCAGAGACAACAGATACATAATTAAATAAACATTACAAAAACCCTTCATAAAATATTCTATTTTTCTTGTGTTTTTAACTCCCACTTGAATATATGATCTGAGGATAAATATATCAAACACAGCAAAGCGGTACTAATCAAAACAAGTCTCAGCTTATGGCATGAACTCTTCTTCACTCTCTTGGAACTGATCCTCGTTCTGGTTCACATTGTTGTTGCCATAGTTACCCCTGTTGTTGTACCAGTTTCTTGAATCCACCACCCTAGAATTTTCATACTGGTTCTGATTGTAGTTTTTCTCGCTCCCAATGTCATAGTGGTACCTTCCGTTCTCCAAAAACCTTGTGTCACTCATGCCCTGCTTCTCAGCATTGTTGTAGTTGTTGCTTTGGTAATTGGTTGGGGTTGTGTAGCTGCTCTGTGTAAGCCTTGCATCATTCAAGCCCTGCTTCTCAGCATTGTAGTTGTTGTGGGTGTTTTGGTAATTGGTTGGGGTTGTGGTTGTGGTGTAGCTGCTCTGTGTGAACCTTGTGTCACTTGGGTTGCTCTCAAAATTGCCACTGTAGTAAACGTTGTTCTTGTTGGGGCGGTATTGGGTGCTGTAGGTCTCAGGGTACTTGTTGGTGTGCTGCTGCTCTTTCTCTGACTCAGCTGTATATGGCAGGTTGTTGTCGTTGGTGGTGAATTGTGCACCATTGGTAGTGGTGTAGGGTGCACCGGTGGTTGTGGTGGTGGTGTAAGGTGCACCGGTGTTTGTGGTGGTGTAGGGTGCACCAGTGGTTGTGGTGGTGGGAGGCAGCTGGCCAGACTCATGGCCATAGAGACCATATCCACTTTGGGTCTCTGGAATGAAGGCTGGCTCTTGCTCTTGCTTTTTCACAGGGGTTTCTGTTTTGGTGACCTCTGTCTCCTTCTCATAGTTGTTGTTGTTGTTGACATTGGCCACTTTCCTAAAGAATTGGCTCTCTCTAGCTTGAGCTTGTTGAGAGAAGAGGAGAGATGCAAGGAAGAAGAGGAAAGAGAACAATTTTGCAGCAGAAGCCATAGTGGCAAGTGAACTTGTTGGGAGGCAGCTGCTGTAAACTGAGCGTATATTGTGGGGGAGAGCTAGTGGTAGTCCATTCTTTATATAGAGGACACCTTTTCTTTTCTCACCCAAAATTTTCAACTAATTAGGTGCAAATGGGCTGGAGGACGGGTGATGGTTTGTGGTCCCCAGTGGGAGCAGAACAACAACAATATTGAGCACCCTTTTTTTTTTCCTTTTTCCAGTTAATTAGTTTTTATTTTTATTTTATTTTTTATTTTTAAAGATATGTATATACACATTACTTTTTCCCCTTGGATGCACTTCATGCTTTCCATGGAGGAAAACAACATAATTATCTGCCATTTTTCTCTACTAAAAGCCAGCCACTCAGCTCATTCTGAACTTGCTTAATATTTAGCTTAGATGACCCATGATTTTTCTTTTCTTCTAAGCAAATCAAAATATGATAAGATAAATTAGAATAAAACCCAGCTAGCAGAATTAATAAGGAATATGGAACTTTAATTGTGGGTGTTGATGGTGTTCCCTAAAGTTGAGGGAAAAAAAATTAAAATAAAGAGGCAGCAACCACAAAGGATAATTTGGAAATTAACTACATGGTGCCAAAGATGAACCAGGACATTGCCGTGGCCGTGTAATTATGCGTGGATTGTGGAGTGGGTGGGGCATGCATATATGATATCATATGGTGCACGCAGCACGCAGCATGTGCCCTCTTTGCTCGGTCAAATTTAAGATACATATCTAACCTCCACTGAAAAAGATAGAGTACGCAAGACTGAGACTCATGTTCTAAGTCCCTGTCGTGTTTTAGAGTTATGCTACCGTCAGTCGCGTGTGAGTGCTTGAAGCGTTCTCAGCTGTTGATGAGTGCCGAGAAAGCCGAAACTTTAACCTTGTTCTGGTTCAGTTCATTTACTGCTTAATTTCCTGCAATTTAAACCAGTATCAGTAATTTAGTAGTGTCTTCTTCTGTTAGTTGGAATATTTAAGTTGCATAACCAAAACCTAGTAGATGGACAGATAGATAAATACTTGATACCAATCTCATTCGATACAGGGGTCCAATTGGTGAATAGTAGATAGATACTTCACAAAAATCTCATCTGCTAATATGTAGATGCCACCGATGATCCCAACCACTGGGTTGGTCCACTACTAAATTATGAAATTTGTCAGCAGAGGAGAGAAATAATAAAGATGATATTGAAATTTCCTGTTGGTTAGATTTTGTTAAATTTCCCGACTTCTGTCACATTTAATTTTTCTAAAGGTCATTTTTAAAGGAAAAGAGAGGAAGGTTAAAGAAGCTTCGATGCCTACATGCGCCACTAGCTCCTGTCCTCCCACAAAAAACTCAAAGCATTACTTCTAGTTGCATCATGAAAGCCAAAGCAAGGGAGGAAAGAACAGGTACATGCCATCATTGAAGTTGATTTTGGAAAGCAAAAGCGTGTTAGCACCTTCCTCTGAAAAAGAGCTTAGTCTTAAAGCAGTAAAAAAAAAAAACCTTTGAAAAAGCAGCCCTTTAGGTTAACTTATAAATCTCACATTATGTAAGTTGTTTTTTTACTTCTAATTATCTTAAAACCAAGTTTGTTTTTTTGTTACATTGGAAGGAAAGAAACCACTATGGGGTTTCAATCTTGGGTGCCAAACAGGGGAGGGCCACAACCACTGTGGTAACTCCACTCGACATTTTAAAACCAAGTTTACTTAAGCCTAGGTGAGATTTTCAACAGTCTCAGTGAGTGGTTAACTTACCCAAACAAAACAACCAACAAAGTGAGACTTTTAAAAGATAAACAAAACATATAGAAGTCTCAAGGCATCCAAGAGGCAAGAGGACCAAGATCCAATTTCACATCAAGCTTTCATGTGGCATTTGGTGATTGAAGTTTGCATGTGGCAAGTAAGTCTTCAATGTTTGGTTATAGCAGTTGCAGAATTAAAGCACTTGATTGATAGAAAGGGTGGGGGCCATTGTCCTTTTCTGTTCTCTCCTCAACCTCCTTCCTCAATGGAAAATGGGGTTCACCCACCAACATCCCTCCCTTCCTCACTCACAGGCTCACAGCAATAGACAAAGGAAGATGCTTTTGTCAACGTTTGTGCTTGACAAAGCAGCTAGAGCCTTTTCTTTATATTTCTTTTCACTTTTCTTTTTATTGAATTATGTGAAATTTGTTGCGCGATTAGCGGAAGGAATAGTTTCAGCCTTTCAAATGCGTTTTTTCTTCTCTCTTTTTTCTCTGTCCTTTCCTTTTGTTTTTGTCTTGCAGACTTGAGTTTGAACAAAAATTAGTGGGAGCGCAAAATTAATAATACATTTATCTGTAAAAGACTACTGATTTCAGCTGAAAGCTAGCTAGGATAAAAAGTTATAAACTCATTCTTTTATATGTATAGAAAAAAGAAGCATTAATAATAAAACATAGATTTCTCAAAGACCCAGATACAAGAAGAGTAGGATAAGATGTTAACAACATGAACCACTTTTAATTTAAAGAAATGGGTTCCAAAACAGAAGAGATAGCAACAAGAGATTGGGAACCAAAATAGGAAGCACAGGATTAACATCACCCCCAAGGCGTTTTCTTCTCATCCTCTTCCTAAAATTCTCTCTCCTCTGCTCATCACCCCACTGAGCTTCCTCTATTCCTTTTGCAAGAATCAATGGCGGGGGCAGGTGATAAGGGCATTTGGACCTCCAAGAAGTCTCAGGAAACCCAAATCTGGAGACCCTTTTGAGGAAGAGAGAGAGGCCCCATTGTAGATGGATAGGAGGGAAGGTGGATTTGGTGCAGAGGACTGGTGGGTAGTCCCAGTTTAGGTAGCATGGGATTTGGGTGGAGATGAAGAACTGAGAGTGAAGAGGTGGTGTGGTTGTTGGGTTGATTAGGACATGAGTTAAGGCATGGAGCCTTTGCTCCCATGTCGTGTCTTCCATTTCTTTCTTACTTATCTCTCTATCGCAAGAATCAAGATGAGGTTGGTTGACTTGAGAGGAGGTCGGCGCTAGGCGGCCGCCTAGGCGGTCCTCTTTATTTTTTTCGAAATATATTTAAAACGTATAGCCGTGCGGCTATACTATTTAAATATGTCGACATCACGTTGAAATAGTATAGCCGCGCGGCTATAATATTTAAATATGTTCGACATGTCGTTGAAACAATATAGCCGTGCGGCTATATTATTTTAAATAGTCGAATATATTTGAACAGTATAGCCGCACGGCTATACGGTTATACACAGTTCTATATTTCATTTTTTTGGTTTGAAAATACGTCGACATGTAGTTGAAACAGTATAGCCGCCCGGCTAAACTCGTTAAATATGTTCGACATGTCGTATTTTGAAAAGTATAGCCATTCGGCTATACCCTTTAAATATGTTAGACATGTTGTCGTTTGGAACAGTATAGCCGATCGGCTAGACTCTTTAAATATTAGAATATATTTGAAAAGTACAGCCGCGCGGCTATACATTTAATATGCATATACACAGAGTTCTACATTTTATTTTTTTGGTTTGAAAAGATGTTTTAAAGGTTAAGCTCAATTCTTTTTCTTTTAATTACATAATCCGTTAGATAAGTTAAATTTCTAATAACAATAGTATTCAAACTTAAGAAAAATATAAAGTTAATACCTTGGTCCTTATTTAGAAAATAAAATTAATAAATACATTGCTGCGAGATGATTTGAATTTTATGAAATGTGGCCAATAAGAAGAAATGAATTTTATTGATTATAAAATCAGTAGTCTTTTTTCTCTTGGTTTGAAAGTAGAATCAGTGTTCTTCTAACTGAAGGCACCCTCAAAGAACACGTTACATCCCCTGGTCGTTTTTGTACAACTCAATAAATTGTAAACGTGCAATTTACAGCTTAAAGTCTCTACTTGAGGCTATAGGTATATAGCCTATAGTTATTACACTTTGAATTGCAATAGAACTACATATACACAAGTAGTGGTGGCTGTCTCTTTAGTACCCTCATTGCCACGGGCTCACAGCTCCTTATCTGGAACAGATATGTTATTAGAAAGCTTAATGACCATTGATTCAAATCTGTAAAATGTTGCTACTGGGGTGTGGATGAGGGTGAGCTAGCCATCAGAAGGGAATCTGCATGGTTCAATTCCCCAAGTCTTCTCAGCGTAGTCTCGGATTGTTCTGTCACTGCTAAATCTCCCCGACCCGGCCGCGCTAAGGATGCTCATCTGAGTCCACTTATTTGGATCCGCAAATGCTTTATCAGCAGCAGCCTTTAGTCATATAGATTCAAATCCCACGCACCATAGTAAGTTATACAACACCAAACTCAAACTGCATATATATGCTTTGGGTTGGGACTGCCAAGTAAACAGAAATAATTACCTGAGCCTCTAAATAGCTTTCAAAATCAGAACCAAGCAAATAGAAGTCTTTACCACCGTCCACAGTATCACACAGAGATTCAAAATAGTCTTTAAAGCCGAAATAGCCATCTCGAACCATCCTACACATAATAAATATCACAGCAGAATTAGAACCTGAGGAAACAGTTTGCTCAGAACATCACCACACAATGGTCAAAAACGACATCAAACACATGCCCTCTAAAGAATCTGAAAATTTTAGACTGGTCACCCCAATCACTAACTGGCTAAGTGAGTATGATTGATTGAAGTGACTACCTTATAACACGTGCACATTGCAGTGGCATTTTAGGAGATCCTTCCTCACGCAATTTGGGAACTTCATGAATCTTTGCCCCGAACAAAAACTGGAGAAAGCAAGTTCTGAGAGAATTATCTCTGCTATACTACAAACAAGTATATACCAATCTAAAATCTTGAAATAGTCAATACACAGATTCCATCTTGCAGAAGTTACAGCAAAAGCAAATTTCAGTTGGTCGACAATACATGACAACACAATCAGCTAATCTTTAAGTTGGCTACATAAATCTCACTTGGACTTTCCATTCTCTAGGGAAGCTCATGTTATGTCCAGTCACACGTCGTCTATCTTTGGCGAAGGACAAAGATCAATTCATATCACAGTGGTATGCTTGTATAACTTTATATAAAATTTACCAGGTTGTCTGCTCCTATTTCTTCAACAATTTCAACAGTAGACCCATCTTCTGTAGCTAAGAGTAAACATCCATTCATAAGAAATTTCATGCTTCCCGTTCCAGAGGCCTCGTGTCCTGCGGTGCTGCAAGGGAATCATCACAAGTTGAGATATCAAATATGAAAACCACAATAACATTGAAGTTTGGCCAAGAAACTCCAATAAGTATATGGAAAGATTGTTTTTTTGGGCTTTCATCAAATTTAGATGCTGCAAAGTTTACAAACCTTATATGCTGTGAAAGGTCAGCCCCAGGTATTACCAATTCAGCAACAGATACATTATAATCAGGAATAAAAACCTGGAATAACAGAGAAATTACATCAAATAGAAGATAATTGTATCCATATGTAGAGTGAAAAACCAGAGATTTTAACTCATGCTAGTTCCTCTCAATATTTGTACAAAACCAGATAGGAAGAACGCATGGAAGGATACATAATTCTTTCTCTTACCAACTTCAGAAGATCTCCGACATCAGTGTCATTATTTATTTTTTCTGCTACAGCATGACAAAGTTTGATAATCTTCTTGGCAATCTCATAACCGGGAGCAGCTTTTCCTCCAATAATGCAGACACGAGGTACAACCTTACTCCTTTGACTTTTCTCCATGTTCTGCAGCAAAGTGCTCATCTTATAAGTGGGGGCAAAAAGGAAAGAAAGCTCTTACTAAAAAAGAAAAAAACATAAGAAGAAAGCTCCAACTCCACATCATATCTCATTGAAAAATCAACAAATTACTGTCCAACAACTTCTTAAATTACCGTGACAAGAAGATGAAAAAGGTATCCACAATACTGGAGCATGGTGATAGCTCTCTTAAGAAGGTATAAGGTAGTTCTTTGCTAATAAGCTATAAAAATATAGAATGCAAAGTTCTTCACCATATAAAATCAGATTCACCTTGATACAGTCATATCGATGGATAATGCCAAGTATATTAAGCAGCTGTCTTTTGTACTCGTGTATTCGCTTTGTCTGCACATCAAACATTGCATCTAAACTAACCTGCAGTTGAAAGTGATAAATTTCAGTGTAATCTATTCGACAAATCTTCTAGACAAAAGAGAAAAGATGAACAGGATAGAAGTTTTAAGAACTTGTGACCAAACCTTCACACCACTCATCGCTTCAATGTACTCAGCGAGCCTCATTTTGTTAACCTTCTTAACCTACCACATGAGCATATATACAATAATAAACACACAAACGAGGCCAAAAGCATAATATATTTTTGGTTCCTAAGCAGCTGTACAAATATCAAGCATAAGGAGTACCATCATCCATTCTTGTTGAAGGTCAGGATCTGCTGCATATGCTCGCAAGCCAGTTAGAAGGTCAACATCACGAATCCAAGCTTCTGTTCCAAGCCATTTTGAGATAAGAGCACACAGGCTAGGATTACTCACCACAATCCAGCGGCGCTGAGAAATAAAATGTCAGTACATTATCACATACATGCATATAAACTGTATAGTGCTAAGAATAATGATGAATCCCTGATTCATCGATGCATCATAAGAACAACCTTTGAATATGTTATGAGCCATATAATAACAATAATAGTAAAACTATACGCATGTGTATGTATGCATGTATATGCACAAATAGAAAACCTCTCAGACCAAGATTACAGATTGTACAGGAATCTATTCTAAGTTCCACAGCATCATGCATCCAATTAAGAGTTCACCAACAGACAGCATCAGAGTCAAACATTAATTAAGACATATTAAAGAAAACCGCAGGAAAGGTTGATGCATCCCAATTTACTGCTCAACTGGGATGGTTTAAAAACTTAAACTATGTCGAACACTCAAAACCCATCTTTGGAGGTGTGTATCTCACCATCCTTCTTCAACCGCATAAACAGATCGAAAAGTCTAATGAAACTAGCAAGTACTTTATAAAAGATGCTATGAACTTTATACCTGGGTAACACCATTTGTCTTGCATTGAAATTTCTGAGGCCACAGCTCATAGAAGTCCTGTGAAAGAGAAGAGGTGTCAGATTACCTAATTTAAGGTATCATAAGAATTTGGATATCTTCAACTTTGTCATAAGACAAGGGAAAAGACAACGATGCAAGGAACACATAGTACCTTGAATAATTTTGCTTTTAGCAATTCTGAATGTACTTTGGAAACACCATTCACAGTATGGGAGCATACAATCGCCAGGTTTGCCATTCGGATACTCTGTCAAATCAAATGGTAATTAAAGGTGAAATTGCTAAACAAACGTTTTCTCATCAAGAAGACCAAAGAATCCTTAATAAACACCTTAAGAATATACTTTTGAAAGGGGAAAAAGAAGCCAAAAACTCATTTAAGTACAAAAGACTGCCTTGCAGAGATTTCCAAATGCCCCTTTTTCTATGCTCTTCGTTTGTTATGTCATCATTTAAGAGAGGATTATGCATAGGAGACATAATATGATTGCAAGAATAAGCACAATGGTGTACGGATTAACTGTAGAGTTTACAAAATACTACAGATAATACCAGACGCCAACCACAATTGTAAGCCCAGAATCATATATCTATCAAGAATACAACCAAATATATCATCAAATACAATATGGTTTTAAACATACCTTCACAGCGCCTTCCTCAATAATTGACATTCGGGATAGCCGATTGTAATCTAAACCAATCCTCTTCTTCAACTCTTCCACAAACGTAAAGTTTATTTCATATATAATCTGGAGCAATAAAAACCTTACCACAATGATTTGAGTGACAAAATAATAATCTCATAAAATAATGGTTATTGAACAGATAATTCTATTATAATTAGTTTATAAGGTTGCTTCAGTATAAAGGAAAGCATAACAATCTGATGGAAATAGAACTCTAGGAGTAAAGATGAACTGATGCACGAATTGATAAAAATTTCCAAAAACCTAGCAGACCACTATCTTGATGTAAATTTGTAATATATATGACAATTAAATCAATATTTCTTCATGTCGAAAAAGAGTCTTTAGAATCGCACTTGTAAATGGCGTGGGAGAAGACTGCCCAGTAAATCAACAGGGATTTTCTCCAACCCTTCAGCAATTACTGCATGTATTGTGAACGAAAATATTTTGCAGGCAATGTCCCACGCTTTATTCCAACCCAAATGCTCTTTATCAACAAGCACTCTCATGACCTCAGCTATCGCAAGAGATGGGTGAGTATCATTGAGCTGCAGAGCAACCTAATTAAGACGAGGAAAAATGAGCCGAGGAAAAAAGGAAAAACAGAAAAGCAAACCTGAACGACTATCAGAGGAAAGTAATATATATATAAGTTCATTGTAGCTAAAACGAGCTGCCATATAGGGTAATAACATGGTTTATTCCCTAGAAATCAACATATGATAAAACACATATTATTAACACTTGGACCTTCTCTGGAAATTCATCAAAGTTACTGTGAGCCTCTTTAAATCTCCGAATTATGTCTTGTATGGATGCTGAGACAAAGAAATATTGTTGCTTCAATCGCAGTTCCTTCCCCTGTAATACAAAATAAAGTGAAAAGGGAAACATACTAAGCAACAAAATGAGAATATATATGAGTCATCCCCATGGAAACCACGTAACTGAGTTCATGACTTTTCTCCAAACTTCTAAGAAGGTACATTTTCTCAGAAACATGCAGATAAAACAAAAGAACAATAATGATAAAACCATCTTTCTTTTCTTCAAATAAGTAAACATGATTTACAACACAATGCTGGAAAAGAAAGAAACTATCATGTACTCAAGACCTCAAAGATGTTTAATGTTTACAAGGTGGATAGAAACGCAGGGAAATAACAGCATGATTATTGTACTCCAAAATCCTAAAGTTTGAGAGTTCAAGCTATCCATACAGTTCTTATACAGAATGCTAGATAACAATATGTTGATAAACTGTCCCAGCATCTATAAAAACCTGATGGGCATAATGGAAAATCTTCATCTCATTGAAGTAGCCAGTTTCTGCATGAACATATCATCTTTTGCTACAATACAATACATATTCAAAATATATTATAAATAAGCAATAAATAACGGCATTAAGAAGAAACAAGCAAACCTGAAATGAACGGTCATCAGGGTACAATACACTACTTATATTTTCTGCTTTCTGTCTGCAAACAACAGCATTGATGTAATCTCCAGTATTATAAGCTTCCTGCATGTGCGGATCATTGCATAGAAAAATTAGTCTCACCTAAAATTTATAGGAGGCAAGAGATGGATTCTATTGAAACATGAACAATTGGAGGGGAGAATACTGTAGCCACTCTTTCATTTGGGATTTCCGTGGGATATTGATTAAAAACGCATTTCTGGAAATGCATAATGTTTAATGTTAGTAAAAATTACCATATCATGTTGATCACTTGGTTTTCCGGCCCATAAACGAAGAGTAATAGTATTCCTTGTTCCATAACCAGGTATGGGATTATCATAAGCCACAGCTTCTACCTAGCATTGTGGAGACAAACCACTAAGCTGAAATAACCAATTATATTCATCATGTTTACAAGATGCAATCCATCTTGCATATATGAATTAAACAATATCAAAGGATCTGTAGAACGAATGCAGCCTTAATAAATGGAAAAAGAGTTTATTGTCTTACCACTTCTCCAGGGATCCAAACATTGCATTTTTCTCCATTCAAATTTTCCTCTTCAACGACCCCATAGAACTTATCCATGTATATAATAAAAAAACAGAAGTTAGCAAAAGGTTTTGAAGTTTTAGGAGATATAATGAATATCAAAACAATCTCGATTATTCAATGAGCACTTTAAAAATAGTAGTATTTGCATACCTTCACTGGATACGTTACATGAACCCGCTCTGTTTCCCAAGGATTTCCAAAGTTCAACCAGAAATCGGGTTGTTCATGTTGGAAGCCATCCAGTATAACCTGGCGGAATAATCCATATTCGTAACGTAGTCCATAACTGCAAATTGAAGATGCAACATCACCAAATTACATCCCATGTAAGAAATTGTTGGCAAAAAACTAGTACCACAATAAAAATGGTGCGGAGTTTTCATATTGATTAATAAGTTTAGTACTCAAAGCCATTAAGCATGCACATTATTATAACGCATAAGATAAGTGAGGCACATCAAAGCATTTCCTATGGGATCACTAACCTATTTGAGTTTTGAGTTCTCTCCAGAAAATGCTTCTATTCTAATTTCTAAAGTGTAAAGAATCATGTCTGCCGCATTTTTTTATCAAGCGGGAATAATATGCTATACATTAGGGGTAACCCTCTTTTGCCTAGACTTCACTGTCTTGGAGGAGGAAAGAGACCAAAGAGCTAAAAGGGACTGTCATCCTAGTATTAAAGACAAAAATTTGATGGGGGTATAATTAATTAGATTATTGTATGCTAACAGAGAGTCGGCATACCCCCATGCAGGATAGTCCAAAGTTGCCATAGAATCCATTTGGCAAGCTGAAAGACGGGCTAGGCCACCATTACCAAGGGCAGCATCTCCTTCCTTGAAACACCAGAAAAACACTTACCATAGCAGAATAAATTGCTAAATTAAGTATATATACCATGGTGTGCATGGTATATATAAGAGATCATAATGGGGGAGTGACATCAGCAAAAGAAAAAGGTGTGCATACTAACTTGCTCTGCCAAAACTTCAAACTCAAAACCAAGCTGGCTTAAAGCATCTGCATATTGATCCCGGATGCCAAGGTTGATGACACTATTTGACAAGGAACGACCTGACAGCTCAATAACAAATAGCATTTCAGCGGCAAGCCAGCAATACATCAAGGAAATATATACGGCACTAAATTCGGAACTCATGGAAAACAAGCAGTCACTTCAATACAAGATCAAAATGAAACATTATCAATTAGTCTAGAGAGGCTTGAGGTTAACAGACACTAGCATCATCCAAAGTCCATAGATTGTATAAAACAACTCTGATGGAAGTACATAAATACCCATAAGATACTCAAACGAGAGGAAGTATACGCGCTTAGGGTCTTTCCTCTTGAAGTAAAGCTGAGTATCATGCGAACGTTCAATCAACCGGTCTCTTACACTATGCGCCAAGGCCTGCAAAATAATCATAACAAGGTAAATAAATATGCAAACACTTGATAACTACAATAAAACTCAGGAAACCCAGAATAATGATAAATGACGAAAATGAAGAACATTTCCCGCCAAATTTGAGAACATTCAACTGTGCCCTGTTATGCCAATTTTGGAAACCACAAAATCAAACTATTCAAAAACATAATCCCAAAGATTACTATAAGAAAACCAAATTACCTGATAAGCTTCAAAATCATCGAAGTTAAAGCGGGACCTGGCCACCGTGTACTCAACGTGACGAAGAATATCCTGCTGCAGACTAATGGAGTCATTTTTCAAAAACCCATCCATTAGCCTGAACATCCTTTCAGCCTTGGCACTATCGGAGCCCAAGCTCATGCCCAAACCCGACCCGGGCCTGCGGACCATCACACCTCTCGTGGTGGGGCTGGTGGGACCCATCGAGACTGTACCACCGTCTTCGATGGCGTCCGTCAAGGCCTTCTTGATCCTATCGAGGCTCTTTGGGTCGGCGATTTTCGCCCCATGAGAATCGGTGACGAAGAATTTTTTGACGAAGAAGTCGCCTTCGAACTCGACGGTAGCTTTTTCAACATGGAGGCCGAGGACTTTGAAGACGCCGGTGATGACCTGGAGAAGGCCGATGCGGTTTCGGGCTCGGATCACGAAGAGCGTGCCGGACGGGTCGGATTCGGACTCTGAGTTCTCGACGGTGACAGATGAAGCGGCGGAGGGCAGCTGGCTAGCGGAGGCGCGTATGGGTTTGGCAACATGAGTGCGGCCGTAGAGGATCGATGATCGCGATGACCGTGAGAAGCTTCGAGAATGTGAGGGAAATAGAGGGAACAGAAAGGTGGAGGATGAAGATGCGAGCTTTGATTGGTCAGTAATGGTGAAAAGCCGTGAAGATAGCGTCGACATTGTAGAATGCGAGGATTTGGAGGGATCACATTTGCATGTGGAGAAAGACTCTGGTACAGAGAGCTTCGGGGTTTGGAGGTGGAAGAAGAAGAAGGAGGAGCTTTGAGTGCAATCACAGTGAGTCTGTGAGTGACTGACCGTGATAGTAGGAAAAAGGGACTTTCTGGACTTTTCACTTTGGAGGGGACAGGGTGAGGATACCAAGTGGACAGCCTCATTTTCATACGGTGAGGCTTCGTATTCTTTCTCGCCACACCTATATTGATTTTTGTTTTTATGTATGTGAATAAAAATGCAATATATTAGGCAATGGAATTCGTCCGTACGGAAAAGATGAAGGATGGGAGAAGTCATGAATTGGAGAATTTAAATGGGGTAATGAAGATATGAGAATTGGATTAATTGCTTCTTTTATGAGTGCAGTTAAAGTTGATTTCATTCTCAATTTTGAGAGTATTTGATTACGGATTGTAGTTGATTTTATTCACGATTTTGAGAGTATTTGATTACGGATTTTTGTGTGGAACTCACATAATTTTGTATTCCTTATACGTTAGTAGAGACATGAAAAGTCAAGAATCGTAATCATTCTAATTCACATATGTTACTAAACACGTAGAATATGAATTATTTCAACACCCATTCATGATCGCAGCACCGCATGTGTCACGATTGCATTGGATCTAATGAGAAGAGCAATGGGGTTGAATGTGGGCGATGAATACGTTGCAAAAGAAGGGTCGTCCCATTGGTTTTGGCAAAAGGCAAGAAAGATGAACAGCAAGCACGCCCCTTCCTTCCACCGTTGTACTAGCATAATTGCATTGCACCCTCCACAGTCACGAGCCTCAAAGCCCAAAATTATTCACAGCACAGCAACACACGAAGCCACCTCTCCACCTCCCGGCAGCCGTCACACTCACACGTGTCTTTTTATTGGGCTCAAGCATTTGCCACCTTGTTATGCCCTTTTACCATGCTGTAAATTTTAGATGCCACGTCACTACAAAACCACACAGTAAAGTAAACTCTCTATCTGGAAACTTCCACACCGTTCTGGTTCTTTCGACATATTGTTTCTCTTTCCTTCGAATTCCAGTGCCACTTTCCTTAATAAGAGCAAAGCATCATTTTTCGAACATACCCAATTATAAATTTTGATAGCCTTGAAGAATTTGAGCAATTCATTGAGTTTTAAAAACACTAGCAGCTGTCTGAAGAGCAAGAAGATATGGGTGTGGATTACTACAAGCTTTTGCAGGTCGACAAGAACGCCACAGATGACGATTTGAAGAAAGCTTACAGAAAGCTGGCCATGAAATGGCACCCTGATAAGAACCCCACCAACAAGAAAGAAGCTGAAGCGAAATTCAAACAGATCTCTGAGGCCTATGAGGTTGGTCTTGCCTTCACCCTTATCTTCCTTTTCTTCGTTCACCTATTTTCTTTTGGTTATTGTTGTTGTTGTTGTTTTTTTTTTTTTTTTTTTCTTTTGGGTTTTTTACCCTAAAAAAAACCCCCCAGTTCCCC